AGAAAAAAATGTTGGATAATAATAAATATAAACTCAGCAGTTGGTAAAAATTAATGGATAAAATCTTTCCAATTAAAAAAGTTTAAAAAAAAAAAAATATCTTGAATAATTAAATAATCATTGGGTTGCGTAGTCTCTCACCTGTTGACCGAATTCCAAAGAATCTTCTCAATCTGTAGGAGAAATTTCTGATGTTCCACCCGCCAAAAACGAAAAAAAAACCTGTCGACTCGTTTGTTGTTTATCGTTAATTCGTCAAATGAATATTGGGGAGATCCGCGCGGTTAATTTGGCATGGCAAAGCGTACGAGAAAGTTTGTTAATTTGTTTCACTTAAAAATCGAGGAAAAAGAATTATCAGACAATCATCAACGTACATAACTAATTATTTGATACACCGTGAGATGTGTAATGAAGTCGGAAAGTCGGAGCTGAAAAAAGGAAAGTACCTGTTATTCAGATGAAATGAATTGTGCAAGAACCCGGAGTACTTTCTTTTTATATACCCGATGCTTTAAATACTCAAATAAATACAATAAATTAGGCTTCATAATTATTTTTCTCAATTGGAAAGATGATGGCTGTCATTTTCATGATTATGGGATGAATATCAAGGGGTGTAGCAGTATAATGGCGTGGCTCGTGAGAATGAAACTAGTGAAAAAAAAACAAAAGATCCAGGATGAAAGTAAAATGCTTGGAATACTCATAACCCGTAATACTCATCAGCGCAACACTGAGATGAGTTAATTGCTCGTGGGGCTAGACGTAAGAATTACACGGGATTATATTACCAACTGTTTAATTCAGTAATCAAGTTGTAAAACGGAATGATTAAATTTTTTTTTCTGTCTCATTCGCAGGGAAAAATGTATATACGTGAAATTATGTATTCTAGGTACATATGGGCGGTATGTATCTGATATATACATGAAATAAAAACAATTCCTCGGAGTACATTATTAGAAATATTTCAAATACATCGAATTTAATTTGATGAAATTTATATTAAATGCGAGAATAATTTTTGTAGGTGAGGAAATTAATTGTTATTGTTGGTAGAAATAATTTTTGATTTCGCGGAGGGTATGATCGTTATTCTGGCAGCTTTTCTGGAAATTTTCAGCGAATTGTGGTTTTACTGAAAGTCACAGAAATTTCGCTGTCAATCAATCGTTTTAGGGGGAATTGATGGAAACTATAAATTCAGATTCAGTTTTTCCGTGAAATTCGAGGCAGATTCGGACAATTCAGGAAAATCATTCGAAAATTTTTCTCTGGGCAATCTAAAATGAATACCTGACTTGATTCCTTCTCTTTTCTCGTTACAGGAGAAATAAAAACGAGTTTTCTTGCCGGAAGTAAGTTTAACGTAACCTGGCATCTGGCGTATCCTCACAGGGTGAGTAAAAAATTTCATTAAAATAAATTCACAATCGAGGAAATTACAAAAACTATAAACCCGAGAACTCATTCATATATTTTCAATCTCAAGTAACTGATGCATCTGGATTTTTAATACTCTGGATTTGAATTCAATTTCCGATTTGTTCTTCAGTGGTACCTTTATAGTTTCAAAAAAATAATTATTCCACAAAATTATTATCATTATCATGATAATTTCAATCATTACTGTTAATTACGTTAAACAATTGAAAATGATTTTTTCAAAACAATTCCCAAGAAAAACATTTGCTAAGTTAATAATTGATATTACACGAATTTAAATGAAAAAAATATCAATACTACCTCGCACTTCCCTAATTCTCTCAAGTGGATGAATTCTGGGCAGTAATATATATTTTTTTTTCGGTGCAGAGGTGTCTTTTTTCATGATTCAGTCACTTAACAACATGAATGAATAAAATTTAGTGAAGGGTCCGTGGCCTCGTACCTCTCCATTAAAAAAACCCGGTATAATGTGTCTCTAGTGGTGAAGTTTCTAGGGAGATTCCGATGGTGTAGTTGCGACATGAAACTTGTAACAACTATTTGAGAGTGGGGATGGGTATAGAGCATAGAACAAACTATCGGGCGCAAAACCGGACGGCCTACACGCGTTTTCTGCTCAAGGTAGTCGCGCCTTGAATTATTCAGAAAACGAAGGCTCAGGTATTTAGTGATCGTATAATACATCAGTACGGTTAACCATTGGGCTGGAGGAATGGTTGAGAGTCAATATACTCGCAACGAGCTATTCCGATGATATCTAGTCATGATAAATTCTCCACAGCTAAACAACAATGCTAATGCCAATTCAATGACAAATTTCACTTATTCATCATTTCTATATTCACTCTTCAAATTATTCAAGTGACATTCTGAATCTAGGCTCTTGATATTTGAGGCGTGTCGATTTATTTACACCAACGGAATTCAAAATCTCTATTTTATTTATGTAGTTAAATAGTGATTATTATTGGAGTGGGTGGTGGGAATTTTTAAATTTTCTCTGAATTTGTGAGGAATTAAAAATTGATAAAGTTGGTAATTTAATCGATCACACATTTCTTTTAGAATAAATCTTGCATTAATGGTGAAATTATCAGAATTATCGTCTATTTTTAAACTAATTCGGAAATATTTTATCATTTCCATCATAAAATTGACCCACAAATACTCAGCAGTTCGAAAAATTCAAAGGCGTCAGCAAGTTCCATTCCTTTTTGATGACAATGAATACAATGAACCGATTAGGTCATCACTCTAACATTCGATCGATCAAGTATGTCGAAATATCGTAAATCTCCTGATATCAACAGCTATATCACAAGCAAACAAATATTTTATTTCAACACAAGCCCAGGGGCCGATCTAGGATCTAAAGGAAAGAGAATTACTATTTCGCAAAATTGAAATGCTGCATTATCCACCGGTTAATTTTTAATTAAAATAATTTTCGTCTTTCATTACAGACGCGCAGGTTTAAATCAGAAAATCTCCGCATATAAATCCACGTTATATAGATAATATATACAAGGGGTACGCCGGGGTAAATTAAAAATAGTTCCATTCAGAACTTTTCACATTTTCTGATGTCTAATCAAACATAAATAGATAAATCTATTCGATTTATCTATTTATGTGCGGTTAACAATTAACAATAATTAACAATTTTTAACAATTATTCAATTGACAGACTCTCACGTGGGATTTTCAAAAAAAAAAGAAACGGTAAATAATGGAAAGAAAATTGTTAATAAAATCGTACCCCATCGAATGGGCCTGGAATTCCAATCGGCTGTTTTAACGATCTTTTTAATACCAAATTAATAACGTCGTTAAACAGTTGAACTTTTTTATTCAAGTCCATCAATTCGACATTGAATATGAAAATTATAAAATACCAGTATATACATACGGGATATGCAATGAAATAATAATGTCCATGGGATCAGCTGTCGCCACGACAGCTGACAAAACCGCAAGGTATTATTTTTTTTAATGATTCCCGCGATAAGACAAAATTTTTTATTTCACGCGAACTGGTGGGTGGGGACTGGGCAAATGAAGAAGAATTCGGTATGCATGTGTCGATGACACGGGGATAACGTTTGAGTCTTGCTCCATACATTCGTGCTATGCGAGAGAGTCCGTTATGACCTCAAAAATAAACATGACAACAATTTTGAAGGGGCTCAGGTGTTGCCCCACGAGATTTTCATCTTGAAGACGATAAATTTCCGTCGAGCGACGGGTGCAACCCGTCGGGCAAAAAATAATGAAAAAAATAAATTGTGCAAAATTATTAATGTCCTTAATGCATGTAATGACCTGAAATACCCGATAAAGATGAAAAAAAAAGGTAATGACGCGCAGGTGTTATTGGCCTGGCGCGTCAATGCGGAAATCATTGGTGCTGACCTTCATTCGACATTCCATCGGGGCCTCACGGTGTGTGAGGCCCCTTTTCCACCCATCCCCCGTTACAAAATCCGATATAATTAAACTCTCAGGGCGGCAACCCATTGGTCCGTTATATTTCATTTCCTCGCCCACTGGCGCACGGGCGATTTTCCGGCGGATAAGACGGTATCGATGACTTTTCAATATTTTCTCATGATTTCAGTAATTCCAGAACGAATCGAAACGTGAGAAACACCTGCATTCCAAATAAATTTAATTTTCACGCGAAGAAAAAAGTCCAGTAAGAATTACTAGAAAAATAACGTAAAAATGACGTTTCCCGTTTGGAAAGTAAAAATTCGTTTTTTTTTTTTGGATAATAGTGAATATTGATAGTCCATTGCAGTCTCATGAACTTTCCTAGTCATTTTCCTCTAAATATTATGCAATGCGACTCTTACGAGTCACTCCTATATTTTCCATAAAATTGAAAAAACCTGGAACATTATGTCTCATTTTCATTCCAATTGGGAGTAATTTGTGGAATAAAAATATTGAATGAAATTCCAAGTGTGATTGCCCATTTTATTATGTCATAAAATAAGGAATTCTCATTTATGAATATTATAATATTCCGGGAAAAATAGCAAAACTCTGGATTGAAATTGACGATTTTATCAATAAAAATTGAGTAAACGAGGAGAATGAAAATAGAAATGTTTCGCTCAATCCACAGGATCATTTTCTGTGGAGATTTTCATGAAGTTCTTACGGATTTTTATGGCGTATGAATATAACTCGGGGTATAATCGACACTAGGGTTTTATTCTTGGTTATTCACCAGGGAGACACCTCAAACAGCCACTTAACGATGGAACCGCAGTTTTTATTACTTACATTCCTTTGTGCATCATGACGGGCGTTTTGTGTCTTGTATTTTTCCCTCTTGCTCAGCCAGATGCTTTCTCTGGGCTCTTGTTTAGCTTCTACTCCTCAATTTTTTCATCCACTATTTCCCGGGATTCAATTATTTTTACAACCGACGACACCTGCCAAGTATGGAATTTCGTTCTTAAGGTGTTTTGGTAGTTACTTGCATTTCCTTCGCTTGGGCTGTAATGCCAGGTTTTTCCAATGCCTGTGACAGTTGCATCTCAATAGTCAATGCTCTGGCTCTGATTTTACCATTCTCAATCACTTCTTCTGCATGGGAAGCGATTTTTAAAATAACGGGTTTTCTCTTCTGGTAAAAATGTTGAGGTGTTTCACGTGGATGGGGAACGATTAAAAAATAACGCATTATGTCTGTTCGTAAAAAATTTAAGAGGTCTTAGTGAGAATTTAAAGAGTGATTTTTTAACACTGGGTTATTGATGATGAGGAACGATTTTTTTTAATAACTGGTTTTTCCTGTTGATAAAATTTCAAGAGGTTTCACGTGAAATTGGAAGAGTGATTTTCTACACGGGTATAAATATTTAAGAAAAATTCTCTCGACGTTTTGTAATCGTGTATTCAGGAATTTTTACTCCAATTTCTAGTAAAAAAATTGAAAATGGCCACTGTATATTACAGGATTACAAAATGTCAGGGTAAATTTTCTTGAATATTTTGCTCTCTGGATTATTGAATTACTCAGAGTTCATGTATGAAGTCTTGTTTTAAATAGTAATTTTTTCTGATTGGTAAAAATTTCCAGGTATTTCACATAAAATTTGAAAAGCAATTTTCAAACATGAAATTATTGAGAGTTTAGGTATGAGGGTGTCTTTCTTTAAACAATAGGTTTTTCTTGTTGATTAATATTTCAAATAAGTGTTTCACTTAAAATTGGAAAGATAATTAGCTACCATTAGATTACCCGTTGTTTAAGAGTCTCTTTTTTTAAATAATAGGGCTTTCTTGTTGATTTAAATTTCAAAGTGTTTCACTCGAAATTTGAAGAGTGATTTTCTAGTATTGAATTATCAGTGGGGACCTTCCTCACTCGTCGAGATAACTGTCGCTGGAGTAAAAGTGTACAGGTGCGTTAGGCACGCGCGGATCGTACCAATGGAATTCGGGTGAAAGCCAAATACCAAGTGTGTTTTACTGCCAACGGGTTTTGGCTTCTATATTTCGAGGCTATTCGAGTTTTCGGGGAATTTATCGTTAGGTCCAGAATTAATGGGTTAAATTTGTTATTGATGGTTTTTTCGTGGGTTACAGGGTGGATTCAGACTGCAAATTCTTGATGCCCTCGATAGGCCACTCATCGACCTCACACCTGTTACGAAGCAGAGCGAATTCGTCGAGGATGATGCAACGTAAATAATGGC